TCAAGTGATCTAATTCTACTTGATTCAGTTTTGGTGGACTATATGTTTCTAGAAACTTGTCCATTTCTTCTTAGTTGTCCAATTTATTGCCATATAGTTGTTCATAGTATTCTCATGGTTTTTTATATTTCTGTGGTGTTGGTTGTAATTTCTCCATTTTCATTTCTTATTTTGTTTATCTGTGTGTGCTCTCTTTTCTTCTTGGTGAGCCTGGCCAGAGGTTTGTCAATTTTGTTTACTCTTTCAAAAAACCAGCTCTTGGTGTGATTGATTTTTTTCTATTGTTTATTAAATCTCTATTTTATTTATTTCCTCCCTTATCCTTATTATTTCTTTCCTTCTGCTGACTTTGGATTTTATTCTTCTTTTTCTAATTATTTTAGGTGAAAGGTTAGGTTGCTTATTTGAGATTGTTCTTGTTTTCTGAGGAAGGCGTGTATTGCTATGAACCCTCTTAGGACTATTTTTGCTATATCCCATAGATTTTGTGTGGTTGTATTTTCATTGTCATTTGTCTCAAGGTATTTTTTAATTTCTTCTTTGATTTCATGATTGACCCATTTTTTAGTAGCATGTTATTTAGTCTCCATGCTGTCATTTTTTTTCTCATTTGTTTTTCTGTGGTTGATTTCTAGTTTTATGCCATTGTGGTCAGAGAAGATGCTTGAAATAGTTTCTGTCATCTTAAAGTTGTTGAGGCTTCTTTTGTGACCGAGTATGTGCTCTATCATAGAGAATGTTCCATGAGCACTTGAAAAGAATGTGTATTCTGTTTTGGGGGGGGATGTAATGTCCTAAAAATATCAACCAAGTCCAACTTTTCTATTGTGTCATTTAGTAATCCGTTTCCTTATTGATTTTCTGTCTGGAAGACCTGGCTAATGATGTCAGTAGGGTGTTAAAGTCTTCTATTACTGTATTCCCATCAGTGTCTCCCTTTATGTCTATTAGTATTTGTTTTATATATTCAGGTTCTCCTATGTTGGGTGCATATATGTTAATGAGTGTAATATCCTCATCTTGTATTGCTTCTTTGATCATTATATAGTGTCCATCTTTATCTTTCTTTATGGCCTTTGTGTTAAAGTCTATTTTGTCTTCTGTGAGGATTGCTGCTCCCACTTTCTTGTCATTTTCATTTGCATGAAATCTTTTTCCATCCTCTCACTTTCAATCTATGTGTATCCTTCACTTTAAAGTGGGTCTCTTGTAGACAGCATATGGTAGGCTTTTGTTTTATTATCCAATCTGCCACTCTTTGTCTTTTGGAGCATTTAATCCATTGAGATTTATAGTAATTATTGATAGATACATGTTTATTGCCATTTTGAACTTTGTTTTCCAGTTGATTTGGTATTTCTTCTTTGTTCCTTTCTTTTCCTTTTTGTGGTTTGATAATTTTCTTTTATATTAGCGTGGCTTCTTTTCGATTTTTGTGACTCTATTGTATGCTTTTGATTGGTCTGTTTTTCAAGTATGTTAACCCCTCACTATATTTGTTTGCTTTAAACTGGTTGTCATGTAGGCTTAAACACATCCTAAAAAGAATGAAGGAAAAAAAGATAAAAGAAAAAAAGCAAAGAGAGACAATAAAAGCCTATATTTTCTCCCACCTTTTATGATTTTGTTGGCTTTTTTATTTTGCATCTTCATGTTAATTCTCTTGCAACTTATTGTAGTTATTTCATTTCCAATTATGATTTTCTTATTTCTACAGCTTCCTGCTTCTTTTCAATTTAGAGTAGATCCTCCAGTATTTCTTTTAGGATAAGTCTAGTATTGCTGAATTCTTTTAGTTTTTGCTTGTCTGTGCAGTTCTTTATCTTTTCTTCTACTCTGAAGGATGGTCTTGCCAGATAGAGTATCCTAGGTTGTAGGTTTTTCTCATTCAGGACTTTGAATATATCTTGCCACTCCCTTCTGGCCAGCAGAGTTTGTGTAGAGAAATCAGCTGAAAGCCTTATGTGGGTTCCCTTGTAACTAACTCTTTGTTTTTCTTGTGCTGCCTTTAGAATCATTTCTTTAACTTTGGCCATCTTAATTATAATATGTCTTGGTTTAGTTCTGTTTGGGTTCTTCTTGTTTGGGACCCTCTGTGCTTCCTGTACTTGGATATCTGTTTCCTTCATTAGATTTGGAATGTTTTCAGTCATGATTTCTTCAATTACCTTTTCAATCCCCTTTTCTCTTTCTTCTTCTTCTGGGACCACTATTATGCTTAGGTTGACATGTTTTATTTTATCCCATAAGTCCTTTATATTGCTTTCATTGTTTTTTACTTGCTTTTCTGTCTGCTACTCTGATTGGGTGATTTCTGCTATCTTCTCTTCTAAGTCACTTATTCATACTTCTGCATTATCTAGTCTGCTTTTGACTGCCTTTAGCTTGTCTCTTATCTCAGCCATTGAGTTGTCTGTTTTTTAACTGGCTCCTCTTTATAGTTTCTATTTCCTTTTTATAGTATTCTCTGTCTCTATTCATAGTCTCTCTTATTTCTTTCAGTGCTTTAATCACCCCCTTTTTGAAGTCATGACCTAGTAGACTGTTGAGGTCTATCCATTGTTCGTTCTTTCAGGGAACTTCTCTTGTTCTTTTAATTGGGAGTGGTTCCTCTACTTCTTCATTTTACTTATATTTCTCTGGCTCTGTAGATTTAGGAGTATCAGTTATCTACTGTGGTCTTAAAGGGCTGTTTTATTTTTTGTTTGTTTTTATTTAAAGTGAGAGTGTTCCTGTGTAGACTGCGTGCATCTAATAGTTTTGTTGTGAAGGCTGTTCTTATTATGGATGGTTGCCACATCTTTCTTCCATGTATGTTGGCTGTTACCCCTTTGATTTGGGGTGGTTGGTTTTGTGGTGATCAGAGCCTGCCCTGATTGTTGTTGTTGAGTGGGATCTCCTTTTTTGTTCTGTGGTTGTCACAGCCTTGACAGGGGCCTGGTCTGCTCCCCTGTTGCTGGAATAAAGGCTTCTAGACCCATTTCTGAGCTGTGGTGTGTGGTACACAGGGTTGGAGTGCTTCAGCTGGGAAGAAGAGTTGGCAGATGTCCACTGGGAAGTGTCCTCTGTGGTGTTGTCTGTCACTTGTTATGCGGGCTTACAAAGTACTCTTTGTTGATGCTGCCTTTGTCCCCACCTTAGCTGCGGGAGTGTCAGGCACCTACTCTCATGTTCCTTAGGTTCTGGGCCTCAGGAACCACCCATGCAGATCTGCCAATATTAGGCACTAGAACCCGCCATCCCAACTGTGCAGACATACACCTGAATATGTGGTACACCACAGGTCAGCACAGACCTAGCCTTGCCTCCGCATATGGTACAGTACGCAGGCCTGTTGTAAATACCAGTACTCATACTTGCCACTTGTACTCGTGCAGCACAACTCCTCTCCCTGCCTGTTCGTCCCAGAGGCATGGGTCCACAAAGGGTCCAGAGAGAGCAAAATCCAACCTCTCTACCTAGGGCTGTAAACAAGTATCAGTCCCACCTGTGAAGTTGCAGGGCCACTGGGTATGGACTCAGTTTTCAGCCCCACCTCCACACAACAGTGATGGCTATGACTAAGCCTCACCTCTCTTCTTGTGAGAACGTACCAACAGTGGAGCCAAGTGGAGAAAGCACCTATGGCGCAGCTGCATTGCACATCTCCCCCTCCCTCACACCAGCAGTGTTGCTTCTTTATGGGAATCCCAGGCTGTTCTGTTTCGTACACTCCCCCAGTCAGAGTTCACACCACCCTCCAGTCCCTGACACTGCCTCTGTGCAGTGAGCCCCAGCCCTCTGCCCAGGCTCCTCACAGATCTCCAGTAGCCAGTCCCAGCTTGTCCCTGTCAGTTTGTGTCTAGGGCTGGGGATCGCAGGTACCAGCCATTTCCCTTAGTTCTGTCTGATGAGCTGCTGCCACTTTCTCCTCCGAGCCTTGGAAGCTCTGCTTCTGTTTCCTCTGACCTCCTGGCTGGAGAGTGAGTGTCCCAGCATGAGGGTGCCTTTCTTCCTATGCTGCTCCCTCCCTGCAAGACTGGTCCTGCACCAATTTTTCATTTTTTCTCTTTTTCTCTTACTGGATTTTGTGAGAGTCCTCTTGTATATTGAAGTGAGAGATACTCTGCCAGAGTTCAGTAGGTATTCTGTGTGATTCAGTGGGTTTGCAGTTGTAATTCTTGGTGTATTTGTGGGAGAGGGTGAGCTGTGAATCTGTCTACTCTGCCATCTTGGCACCTCCTCTAGCTATGATATTTTGCAGCTGAAGTTTCCTCATTTCTAAACCATAATTTCTTTCTCTTTTTTTTGTAAACATAATTTAGTGGGATTAATGTGATCTGAGGCTTCACTGGATGTCTTAGGGAAGCTAGTCTTCAGGAAAAAGTAATGGGTTCTCTTGGTGGTGGTGAGTTCTGATTCTCTGCTGTGAACCTTCATATTTGTGATCTTCTAGAGTTTTGTATGGGAAAAATGTTGAATGCTCAGCAACCATTTTTGTTCCTAAGATCCCCTTGATATTACCCATGATGCTTCTGCAATTGGCTTTGAGTACATCTTGTAATTTGCAGGGTTTTTCCAGAGTAATAATTGCTTGATAATTCATTGAGTTATCCTCTGTTATAAAGAATGGATAATATGATGGTATCTGAAGTCCTATGTGACTTACAAAGTGATTACTACATTTTCTTACTTAGAGAAGTTTAAATATACTAACCTTGAGAAGGAAATAGAAAGAAGGTAAGAGTTAGTATTTAGTGGAATGTTGTACTTTCCATTTTATGGAAACAACAGATTTGATTTTTATTTTCCAACAAAACAAAGTAAGGAATTGCCATTTTCACATATTTATGATGATGATATTCTCATAGCAATTGGCTGCTATGAGACATTTCTAATTTTCCAAGGTTAATGGAGTGAACAATTAAAATCAGAATGTACTTCAACAGAAATGTACTTTAGTAACTGAACATTTTTGACAATTTATTAATTTTTCTCATACGTGGCTTCTCTATTTCCAGATTTGGATATCAGAAACACATGAAAAAATGGCACAAGTTTGTTTAAACACAGATTTGGCTGAAATAAAGAGCAGAGCTTTATTGAATGAGGAAACAATGAGCTCTGGGATTATTAAAAGGTATGGTTAATACTTTCCTTTGCTTAGAACAGGCACATGCAGGAAAGGGTTTATATAAGGAGAGAACAGGTGTAGTGGCCCCAGCTACATGTTACAGGACCATGTCAACCACAATCAACACATCTCAAGCTTCCATGCTTTCTGTTCATGCCACTTCCTCTGTTTAGAATTCCCTTTCCCTTGATTGTTTGCCAATCAGCTCTACTCATTCTAGGTCCAGCTAAAATGTCATTTCAGCTTTACACATTTTTGCTCGTCATGGTTCTGACCACATAGGTATGAATCTCATCTCCACAATTTACTTATGAAAGTTGTGTGGTGTTTATAATCCTCAATTTATCTACATAAAATGGGAGTTATAAAAGTATCTACTTCATAGGGTTGTTTTAAATTTACATGAAAAGCAGTATGAAATGTGCATAAAGATATTGCCTGACATGCAGTAAGAATCAGGTAAGCTGTCATTAATCAGAATTAATTGCTGTTATATTCTTGCTTTCTGAGCATTTTGTTTATGTTCTGCATAGCAGTTGGACTTACATTCTAGTTATTTATATGAAAGTATTTCCTCTGAGATTGTTCCTTGAGGGTAGGAACTGTTTCTTAGTCATATCTGGAGATATGCATCCTGGCACGATGCCTTTCCATGGAAATGTGTGACATACACTTCATCTTGTATTTTAGTTACTGGACCAAATGCTGAACTTTCTTTCCTTTTCCTTGGGACATTTTATTTTGCAAAGTGCGTTAAAGTTGCAGACATGCAAATCTTTTAAAAAATAATTATAATAAACATTCAACCCCCAAAGTAGTTCTGTATGACTTTGAAAGTTTATAAATGTCAGACTGACATGTTTTCTAAAAATTGTTATCTTGTTTCCAGGGACACTGGATTGCCTACTACAGGCTTTGGAGCTCTCTTTACTCGACACCCACCAGATTGGCGCAAAATGTTTGTAGTCCCTAAACCGCTGCAGATTACACAAAATGTTTCTTAATGATTCAGGGGTTTGTTTGCAGGGGTGAAGGGGTGAGGGGTGAACCAAGGTCAACAAAATGCCTTTTATGTAGCATCTTACAGACTTCTTTAACAAAAGGTTTTTTCCCCCATAAACAAACAGCATTAGTAATAATAATAATAATAATACAGTCAATCCTCATTATTTGTGGATTCCACATTTGTGAATTCTCTAACTTGTTAAAATTTATTTGTAACCACCAAATCAATACTAAGGGTACTGTTGCAGTCACTCACAGATATGCATAAAATGGCAAAACATTGGAGCCATCCAACGCATACATTCCCAGCTGAGGTGGAACCTGAGAGTCAACTCTCATACTGTCTGCAAGTGTCCTTTTCACAGTCTCTTTAGTGTCTTTCTTTTTTTTTTTTTTCGCATTTTTATGTTTTGTGCTTCTTGTTGATGATCTTGCTGTTTGAAATGGCTTCCAAGTGTAGTGCTAAAGTGCTGTCTAGTGTTCCTAAGTGCACGAAGGCTCTGATGTGCCTTATGCAGAAAACTTGTGTTAGATAACCTTTCCTGAGGCATGAGGTACAGTGCTATTGGCCATATTTAATGTTAAAGAAGCAACTATATATTAAATAAAGTGTCTTTAAACAGAAACACACATAAAACCAGAGTATGTATTGATTGGTTGATAAATATGTTGTGACCAGAGGCTCAAAGGACCCTAATCCTGTATTTTCCCTAAGAACGGTGGTTCATTATTTGCTAATTCAGTGTTCACAGTGACTTTATAGAACATTACTGTGAATAATGAGAACTGACTGCATAGCAGCACTACTGTTTTTTACTGATAAAAGAAATACATTTATTTTGGGGCAGCATGGCTTGTTACTACAGGAAAGAAATTTCTTCACTCATCTTTCTAAAGAAGACAAAATTTCATAGTTTCTGTAATGATGTATAGATAAGTGATGAAATCTAGGTACTTACAAGCATGAAAAAATTCTAAGTGTTGGATTATATATTATGAAGATATGAGTACATGTCATCATTGCTGGCAATTTAAAAGTTTTTGCTTCCTTTCAGAACTGTCTGGCATTAGAGCTAAGCTATTTTGCAGAGTCTGCCTAGGGTAGGGATGGAAAGTGCCCTAAGTGATAATGTCCCACCGCATTTCACAGTCATCTGTTGTCATTCTGGCCAGATGTTCTAACACTAATAGTTCTAACACTGATTACTCCAGCAAGGCTGGCCTGGTCTGTGTCCCCCACAACCTGCTGTAGCATGTCTAAGTAGGCTGGAAGATCCACAAGGAGTATCCGCAGAATGATCCTTGAGAAGGGTGACCTTCTGACTCCCATCAGGGTGACGTGCTAAAACATCTTGCTGGCTCCCTTCCCTGAGCTGAAATCTAGAAGTCCCAGCCAAGACATGGGAAGACAGAATGAATCCAGGGGCAGACTTTGACAACTCTATCAAAACTCTGAGAAACTCTAAAGAAGATGATGTGCTAGGGCAGGAGAGAGCTGAGGGATGGGAGGAGGGAAGAAGAGAGAAGGCAAGATTGAAATCTCTAGATGAAGGTCTGTGCTAATCCAGGTTGAGAGCTGTGATCTCAGTGGGCCAGTTTTGGATAGGCACTGAACAAGTCTTATCTATTATTTTTGCAAACTTGGATTATATGTTCAAAGTTGGATTTTTCTGCATTTATTTTGACTACTATTTTCAGTCCAGGGCAGAAAATGAGACACCCAGGGATCTACATAATACAAGTTTTGATACCAACAACCTACCTCCTTGCAGGTCTGATCTCAGCATTATGATCTACAATGCCAGCACAGATAGCCAGGAGGACCCTGAGTTGTCTCCCCCAACTCCAGTTAGGGGATGCAATCTCGGATATAGAGGAACCAGGCAGTATATCTTGAGGAGAAAGAAATGTAGGAAAACAAGTACAGTTAAGCCCAGAGAAGTGCAGTAGAGGCACTCAACTCATATCTCCCACACTCACAGTGAAGACACCAGCTGAGCCTCCCTTTTCAGTGGCCCACTTACGTCATCACCAAAACAGAAGCGACTGATTGTCTTAGGAATACTGCAGATGAAGTCCTAGTCTTAAAAAAAATCATGACTCATCTAAAGGACAAAAGCATCATGAAGAATGACAAGATATGGACGACCTATACCAGAGGAAGCAGACCTGATGGAACAAATGTAACAGGAATTTAAAGCCAATGGAAGAGAAATTTAAAGTTTTATTACCCAGGAAAATAAAGGAAACAGTTGCATATGTACAGCAAAATAATAAAAATCAGGTTAATATTAACTCCCCAACAGTAACACTGGATTCAAGAGCATAACATCAAAGTATTGAAGTGAAAAGAACTTTGAACCCAGAATTATTTAAATGTGAGAGTCAAATAAAGATATCTTCAGGCGTATGAGGACTGGTTTCAGATTTACTATCCTGCCATGAATAACTATAGATCTGGGCAAAATACGTTAGGCAACTGTCGTCAAGGGTTGAATAGCAACCAGTGCAGTTCTGTGCTCCTTAAGATGAGAGGTGAGGGTCACTTCCTCACCAAGGTCACTTCTCCCGGTCCGTGCAGGGTGGTGAGCCCAAGAGTAGAGTAGCAGTTGAGCTGGGAGATGAGAATAGGAATTTAGAGCTTCTGATGTAACTGGTATTTGTAGGACAGAATATTGGAGAGAAGGAAGTTGTATGTAGAGATGGGAACAGAAGTCTGCATGGGGTCTCCTTCAGATTCTTGGTCAAGGGCCAGGCTCTGCATGTATTATTAAAATACTACATACTACTGCTTTTAAAAAATCAAACAGAACTATCTATAATGTATTCTGAACTTTTACAGTGATGCTCCCTCCTGCATAGTAGTATTGTGTAGTGAGCCCCAGAGCTACATTACCTGCCTTCACGTCCTGCGCCTGTCACTTACTAGCTGTGTGAAGTTGGGCAAGTTGTTTAACCATTTTGTACCTCAATTTCTTCATCTGTAAAATGGGGATGATGATTATAAAGCCACCAATGTTATAGGATTGTTGTGATGATTAAGCAAGTTAATACATATAAACAGTTAAAGTAGTAAATTTTTTGCTATGCAAATAAGCTGAGGCCAGACACTTGGCAAACCCTTTCAGTCTAGAAACTCTATCAGATCATGAAAATCTTCTTGATTGATTGATTGATTTTATTGAAGTATAATCAGTTTACAAAGTTGTGTCAGTTTCTGGTATACAGCATAATGTTCCAGTCCTACATACACATACATGTATTCCTTTTCATATTCTAGTTCAGGAAAATATTCTTATATCATTGATGATTTATACCCTCCATTTTCTCTATTCCAACTCTTCGGAAATCTTTTATTTGCATGTTGGTTTGCCTGGCCCGGTCCTCTAATTTTCTTGTCTTTTCTCTATTTTTTTAATTTATCTTTACAATCTACTTTGATCTCTGTGTCTTCAGCCCTACTATTGAATTCACTTTTTGTTTTCTGAATCCTTCTATTTTTATAGAATCCTTTTTTTTTTTTTTTTGGTTTCATGATTGAAATATCTATCGGGGGATGTTAATGATAGTTTGTTTTTCTTAAAATTTTTTTTCTCCATGCATAGTATCTATTTCCTCCAAGTTACTTTTTTGTTAATTTGCCTTTTATTTATTTGTTTAGTATCTGTCTTTCATGCTAGACACTTTCCTCAAATATTTGGTTATCAGTCCTTGGTTCTCTGCTCATGATTAAGACATGAGGCTCAGAGCCTGTGTGTGAGGCTTCTTGATTTGGAGCTTCGCTGGAGGGATCTAGGTGGGCCGGCCTTCCTTCCTTCCTTCCTTCCTTCCTTCCCTTCCCTTCCCTTCCCTTCCCTTCCCTTCCCTTCCCTTTTTTGTAAAAGCCCTGGTGTCAATATTTCAGTCTTTCCTCGTAGACTGGCCAGATTCTCCAGAGGAAGTTCCCCAGATCTCCCATCTGAAGGGTGATCGCACCATTCATTGCCTGTGTTCTTGGAGTGAGCAAAGTTATTGGCTGTGACGTCGATATTAATCCCTCACTGGGTATGGTCACCAAACTGTGTTGTTGGTCAAGGACTTTCTCTTTTACCCTTTCTAGTGAATAAATTTCTAGCTTCCTGCTGGAGTAGGGGAGGGGCAGTTATGCAGCAGTGAAATGTGCAGGAGGAGCCTGGATCTTATCTGCTTTTGAAACAGCCCTTCCCCCAATCCTTCTTTGGTGATTTAGGATGTTTTCAGCTTTCTGATAAGTCAGAGACCACTTGTCAATCTTCTCTTGGGTTTCTGAAATTTGTTTCTCTTGTTCCTTTTTCCATTCTCATTGTTCTTGAGGATTTATTTATTTTTTAAGTCTCTTTGATTTTAGTGGAGCTTTTTGAGGAAGCAAGATGAGGTGTGTACATTTAATCTTAACCCTGAAGTCATCCAGTCTCATCTGAAATGTCACCTCTTCCAAAGGACCTTCCCTTCCTACTGCCACCTCCAGCACCCGTGGTAGGTCCCTTGTGGGTGTTCATAGCACCGTGTACTTCTAGTATTCTAACACTATTTATCTAGGTTGCAATTACTTGCATTCTTGTTTGTTTTTCTTGCTGAATTCAGTGCTCTGAAGCACAAGACTTGCAGCTCTCCCCCAGTGCTAACAGAGAGCCTAGCCTACAACAGATATGATTAATTTCTTGAATGAACAAATTAATTATTTCTGATGTTGAACAGTTAATTATAATGGAAAAGGGGTAAGGCTAATTCCTATTTTATTTAATTTAGGACTTTAAGGCCTGAAAGGTCAAAATTGTTCTCAATTCTATTCTAAATGCATTAAAAGACATAGTCTTTTAGGAAATCAGCTCTTATTAGTTTGAAGTGCTTGAATTACTTGTTTGTTTTATTTGATTCACAAGTATTAGCAAGGAAATAAATACTTGAGCACCTTCAGTGTCCTCCACTAATTCC